TTTAATTTCTCCATGCTACCTGCTATAATGTTTTAGTTTTATATTGGTGGTATGATACGTGTTACATTTTTAAAAGTTAGCTATGTAACATTGTAACCAAGTTTTCAGTATTTTTTATATGGAAGAATAACAACTTCCACTACATATTATATTACTTTGGATTATTCACTGTCAACCATATGCATCTAAAGTAACCTAAATAAAAATCAAGTAAAGCAACCATAATTTTGATATATTTTGTGATATAAAAGTTTTAATTATTATAGTTTTTTACCTTATAAAGCTTGAAACCAAATAGGGAATAAGTAATAAGAAAATCCAGAGTCTAATTAGATAACATTATATTAATTGAAGTGATAACACTGGTTAAATTGTTTTTAATAATCATAACCTAGGTAAATTGATATGTAGAATTATACACAGACTTTTCTTTATTAAAATACTTTTATTTTTGAACTTTTGGCCTTCTTACCAGATCCTTCACCAGGCAACAGTGTACGTTGTTGCCCAATGAAAACTCAAGTAAGAAGGTCAAAAGCTCGCACATAAAAGTATTTAAATGTAGAGAAAGGTTCATGTATAATTCTACATAATGTTTAAATTCTCGGTTAGATACATGGCTTAATGAAAGGCTCCAATTCCCTCTTTTGACTAATTTGCTTCTTGTTATCAAACTCTTGTGGCATTTGAATCTATTCTTCTGGGACTTTTTTTTAAAGAGGATACTTGGAGTGGTGGAACATTTTTCACATTGTATTACCTAGAAAACACTTGGTAATTTATATTAGTAGATCTTGTTACACCTGTTATAGAAATGCAGTGCTATTGTATTCTTGCATCTAATCAAAGTTCCATACAATACATAACACAGAATTCTGCATAAATAGAACCTTTGAAAATGCTAGCCAGTGAAGATGTAATGCAATAGAAATTATAATTATGAATTAAGTGTAATGAAACTATATTAAATGTCTGTTATAAGTTACAGTTAAACACTGAAAAATATGATTGATTACTTTGATAACTGAAAATTAGTGATTTAAGAAAACTAATATTTTAGTGCACTGTTATTTCGAGTTCATTGAGCTAATGGAAGAAGCACTTTGTATTTTGCTCTACCTGATGTTAATGAGAATAGAATAAAAATTAAGCTATAAATGCAAATTAAGTTTTTGTTATATGACAGCTTTAATGACTTTGCATTGTGAGTGTTGAAAAATTATTCTTTGTCTTATTTTCCCTAACTGAGGAGTAATAGCTCCAGTTCTATAATTTCACAAGGCACAGTATAAATAGTAATATGTAGGAGGTAACATAAATGTGTTATAATAGTATTAATTTATTTTATAGACAAATCTTGGATGTGAAGTATGGATTGAAGCGATGGCAGATTGGAGAAATAGCTTCTAAAATTGGACAACTTTATTATCATTACTAGTAAGTAATGTGAAGTTTCTCTTAACACTTGTGCTTTAAAATGAACACTATTTACCTTTCTATGTAAACATAATACTTGTTAATCGTACAAGATAAGTTCAAGATTTCCAAGTTCATTTCATTTGAGACTTAGGCCTGATTTTTAGTTATTGTATGTATGTAAAATTTTTGGCTCTGATTGCCCTCACTCCACTGTTATGCACCATTCACTTAGAAATACAGGGTGTCCAAAATTTTCTTTCCAATTTTAAACTGAAATAACCAAATAAATAAGGAAATACAACCATGAAGTTTTCAACATCATGTATATCAACTCAAACAGTTTTATTGATATGTCAGTAGACTACTACATGTTCACAATTAGTGGCTCTCAGTAAGTCTAACTGATATTCAATTTCAGTCCACGTTTGCTGCAACATGTCCACAGTTACACTGGCGATGACGTCCATTATCTTGGTCTTTAGCTCCATGATGTTTGCTGTAGGTGTGCAATACACAATATCCTTAACATACCCCCAAACAAAGTCTAGTGGGGGTGTTGTCTCACAAATGCAGAAGTCATGGAATTGGCCCACCCCAACTAATCCATCGCCTCAGAAGTGTCTGACCAGCAAACTCCAGTGAGGTGAAGCACCATCCTGTTGAAAGATTATCTGTGGTTGCATTTCCTTCAGTTGTGTGACCACAAATTGTTCCAGCAAGTCAAGGTACACATTCCTGGTAGAAGTGCTCCCAGCAAAATAGAAAGGATTAATAATCCTGTCACACATGAGACTGCATCACAAATTCACCTTTGGGCTATCATGCAAGATTTCATTGGTGTCATGGAGGTTTTTCGAGCCCCAAACGTGAACATCATGATGAATTACTTTACCCAAGGTATGAAACGTAGCTTTATCGCTAAACAGTGCACGAGCTAGAAATGTGTTGTCTTCATCTGTGCGGTCAAGGAGATTTGCTGCAAATGTCTTGCACTATGGTCTGTCATCTGATTGCAGTGCCTGTACCAACTAAAGTTTGTAGGCATGCAGATGAAGTTATTTGTGAATGATATGGAGCAGCGAGTTTTAGCATGTTAAGTTCTCATGAATCAGCTTGCTGAAGGAATTTTCTTGGGCTATGCTGAAACAATTCGCATACTTGTTTGATATTTTCTTCACTGACAGAGGGCCTTCCAGCTCCTGATTGCTGTAACACACTGCCTGTCTCCAAGAACTTCTTCATTCACTCCAAAGTAGTTGGTTTCGATGGTGGTTCTTTCCTGTTCTGGCATTCATAATTATGCTGCACCAAAGTCACTGATTTGGTCTGCAAGCCAATGATGCATTGAGCCTTTTCTTACATAGCTACCATTTCACTGGAGTGAAAAAAAGAACATTACAATAACTGAGTTGGGCTACAAGATGTTGAAAACTGCATGGTTGTATGTTCTTAGTTATTTAATTATTAAATTTTAAAATAGGAAAGACAGCTGCAACTATAAATTTGAGAGAAAAGGAGGACTTAGTGACAATATAGGGAATGACAAACCCACAAGTTTCATCAAATGTTGTAAATGGATTTGTTACTGAGGAAGAGTTACAGATTGATGAAATTTTGTCAATAAAAACAAACAAAAAAATCATAAAAAAAATAATAATTCCAAAAAACTAAGATTCAAAACTAAAATAAATTTGAAT